ACAAATTATTCATGTTCTCCATCTAAACTTAACTTTATTTTAAATTAAATTAATAACCAGAAGGAATTTGTTGAACATATAAGTAAGCTAGCTTTCATGAAATTCATCTACTGGTACTCTTTTACGCAATAAAGAAATCTTTAATTAGATATTTCATTTCATAAGTTTAAATCTTCATATTTTACATGTTTACGTCTTAAGGTAATATTATTTACCGCATTTGCTTCTAGACAGGATTTTGAAATTAGGTAATCGTACATAAAATTCCAATATCTAATCATTTTAACTACATTCTGCATGATGATAAATGATAAATGATGGCATTAATCATTTTGATTAATTTTACATAGAAGTTTTAGTTTAAATATAGGTTTCGAAATAGCAAGAAGTTTCAGTTTATAGTAGTTTACATAATTATAATTATTTTGAATAAAATTTAATCTAGTGGTGCATGGCATCGTGCTTCAGTAATTAGTAATTCCGTTTTTGAAAGAACGAAGCGTCCGATTTGAATAATTCAGAAAACATTTTATTTATATTGACTAAACAAAGAACTGTTCAAATTTTTGGAAAGGCAAGTGCAGCGGTTGTGGGCTCTCCATAAAAATAAGTTAAAAAAATGTCATTTGACGATCAAAATTTTTTACATTTTAATACTGGATACACATTTTGTGTGAATTTTTTTGGGTTCCGTACCGAGACTTTTAATTTTAAAATTCACGTATATGGTTCAAACAAATGTCCTCGACATTTTCGACAGTATGGAATAAACGATTTGAATAATTTAAAAAAAACATTCGTTTCGTATTGATAATGAGACGTGCTGATTAGTTGTTGGCCAAGACAGGTCTAGCCGTTTCAAAGATACGGGGCAAAAATTGCCAAAAACGGTAACTCAGTTTTTAAGAGAACGGAGCGTCCGATTTGAATAATTCAAAAAAGATTTTACTTGTATTGACAAGATAAAGAACTGACTAAGATTTTGGGAAGGCAGGTCCAGCGGTTGTGGACTCTCAATAAAAATAAGTTAAAAAATTGTCATTTTGCGGTCAAAAATGTTTATTGGACATATGTACATCAAATTATCAGATATTTTATATAGATTTTATAAATGTGTACACATTTTGTATATTTTTTTTGGGTTCCGTACCAAGATTTTTAATTGCGGTACGGAAAGTTTCAGCAATTTGCCTTAAGGCACGACGCCATGCGCCCCGCAACTTTTAAAATATTTTAAAATTTTGAAAAAAAAATGATTTTTTTTAAAAACCCCATTCAAGTTGATCTATACTTTCGAAAATGTCGAGAACATACGTTTGAATTGTATAAGTAAACTTCAAAATATAATATTAATAAATATGGTACTAAATATTAAATTCTCTAAAAACTTGATGTGCATATGTCTAATGATTATTTTTCAATACCAAAAGATATTTTTTAACTTTTTTCTGGATCTCCGAAACCGCTAGACCTGCTTCTTAAAAGTGCTTTACTCCATAAATGCAAGTGAAATAATAGTCGTCGACAAAATTTGGTATCCGCACATACAGCCTTACATACAAAAACACGTAAAAAATTATATTTTTTACCTTAATTATACTTATTAATAAGTACAATTTTAATATAACATGTATATTAAATGTATTCAGCATTCGCCAATGTTTGGTGTCATTTATTTTAAAATTACGCGGCATACATCATCACGTCATCGTTCATTTATGTTATTATTTTTGTATTACTGTTTTAATTTCATTTTTATTTTAACTTTTTTTCATCTTATATTCAATGTATTGCATTTTTTGTTTTTTTTTTGTATTTTTTTTGCTCATATCAATTTTGTAAATAAGACATTAAAGTCTTGATTAACAAAAATAAATTGTAACAAAAAAAAAAAAAAAAAAAAAAATATTTTAAAATAACTTTATCAGAAAAAGGAATATATTGATTTGAGATTTCTAAATATGTTATAGTTTTCTAATATATAAATATATTATAGTAATGCTAATTACCTTCATTGCCCCGTATCTATTATACGCAAGAATAACTTACATTGACTGTTTATTCATAATTTTCATCTAATTATTTATTTACTTTCATCGCTACATGTGATTTATAAAAATAATTTGTTTCATGAAATTCTTTAACATGAGAAAGTAACCATATCGTGCCGAATTGCAATGAAATACATTTGAATGTAAAATACTTTCATACGGAATGGATTATTTTTATATAAATAAATATAAATATAAATAATAATATGTCAAAATTAATTTGAATTAACAATAGAACAAATATTAAAAATAAAAAGCAAATTTTTAAGTAAAAATGTAATAAAAATAAACAGTATATTCTGAAAGTGTATAATTAAAAGTTTGGAGTGTATTCTCACAAAATATAACGTCTTAATTATTTTTTTTGACAAATTTCATGATTTTATCAATAATTGTGACCAGTCAAGCCAATAAACTAGTGGTACATGGCATCGTGCCTTAATGAAAATTGCTGGAACTTCCCATATCGTAATGAAATAATCGAGAAATTTTGAATGTTTTCAAACATATGTGTTATTATAAATTCTGTAACTTTCATTATTCGTATAAATTGTACTAACACGTTCGTATATGTTTACATAAGAAGTAATTAAACAAATAGAATTAAAGAACCTTATCTCATATAAAAATTGAATTTTTTTTAAAATCTTGTAATTAAGAAAAAAAAATATCCTTCATGTCTGAAACGGCTGGGCCTACCTTTTCCAAAGACTAATCAGTACGTCTGCCCATCAAAAGCAATCGAATGTTTTGAAACTCGTCGACGACAAATTGTATCCGCACATACACACGCACGCACACACACATACATTCATTTTTTGTAAGGTATGCCAAAATATGCAGCAGGCCTTATAACGCAAAAATACAAAAAACAGTCTCAATTAATATTGCTTACCCTACAAGAAGTTATAATGAAGTTTATACAGTTAATATACAGAAAGTTTTGATGAAACTTGCTTCTGAATTCGAGAAACGGCTAGACCTACCTTTTCCAAAGACTAATCAGCACGTCTCTCCATCAATATCAAATCGATTTTTTTGTTGAATTATTCAAATCGGTTGATTTATACTTTGAAACTCGTCGACGACAAATTGTATCCGCACATACATACGCACGCACACACACATACATTCATTTTTTAAGGTATGCCAAAATATGCAGTAGACCTTAAAACGCAAAAATATGAAAAAAATTATTTTCAATTAACATTGCTTACCCTGCAGGAAGTTACAATAAAGTTTATACAGTTAAGGTACAGGAAGTTTAGATGAAACTTGCTTCTGAATTCGATTGTTATTCCGGAGAGATATTTTAACAAATATGTTATAAAAAACAGAAATTTTAATTACAACATTAAAACAATATTTTCACTATAACAATTACTATAAATTTTATTCATTACGTTTGAATCGACTATAACTTTCCAACCACTGACGATGCTTGGGTTATTATTCGCATTATAGTTTCAGTGTCTAAACATAATATGATGCTATTACTGGTAATGGCATCACTTACTTTCTGACCAACATGCTTATTTTGCATATTCTGCCTATTGTTTTAGAAAATATATTGTTTTCAAACATTTTAAGTATTGTTATTTTCTAGATGCTGTACATTGTAATCTACTCGCACAATGCTGTTTTTTCGGCACGACTACTGGCCTTATAGAAACAAAAACGGTTATTCTTATTTCATCTGCACAATATTGAATAAAAGTGCAACGTGATTTTTGTTTTCAACTTCCGAAAGGAGAAGATTAGCTTTTAGCCAGAAATAGATCATAATATAGAATAAAGTCACAACTTTATGTTTTCTCGACATTTCAAGCCATTCTGATTGAGACCAACTTTGAAAAAAAAACTGCGTGTACGTGAACCGATTATTAGACTTTCGTCGTTTTCTCAAAAACTGCTAAACCAATATCAAAAGTTCAAAAACCATTCGATGTAACTAGATAAGATCTAGCGTTTATCAGTTTTTCGCGACGATCGGCAAAGTCGTTTCTTTGTAATTATCAAACTATCAAATATATTTATATATATTTTTAACTTCCCGTAGGGTAAGTTATTGTAATCGTCCAAAAATCGAAATCGAAAATTTTTGCATTTCTCGAGGTTTTGAAGGTTTCTGAACATTTTGGCGTACTTCAGAAGAAACGGATGTGTGTGTGTGTTTGTGTATGTATGGATACAATTTTTCGTCCTCGTTTTCGGGATGAACCGATCAACCGATTTTTGCATGCACGGATCAACCGATTTGAATGGTTCAAAAAACATTCGATTCCTATAGATAGGAAGATGTGCTGATTAGTTTTTGGCGAAGGCAGGTCCAGCAGTTACGGAATTAAAGAGCAAAGAGTGCAAAAAATAGAAATCGAGTTTTTGAAAGAACGGAGCATCCGATTTGAATGATCTAAAAAACATTCAATTAGCAATGATTGGGAGAAGTGCTAATTAGTTTTTGGCAAAGGCAGGCCCATCCGTGCTTATTAGTTTTTGAGAGATCTAAGCGTCCGATTTAAATGATTCGAAAAACGTTCTCCTTGTTTTAACAAAATAATTTATTTTGGAAAAAAATATTTTGTTTCAAATTTTTTTTTTCAAAAATTTTTTTTTCGAAAGAAAAAATTTTTTTGTATATCGAAAATAATTCAGATTTTTATTTTAATTCTGTTCTAATATACTTTAAACAAATAATTTCAACTTTCCAAATCAGTTTATATAATTCTTAAAAATATTAGAGAATGTTACAATATTTATAATAATCTATTCTAAAACATTTAATATTCCTCGATCATTTCGTTACGATACGGGAAGTTCCAGCAATTTGTCTTAAGGTACGATGCCATACACCCCACTAGTTATATATTTATATCAACATTTATTAGCTAAAAGCTAAATTAAAATTTTAAATATATAATATGCTAAATTATGATTATTCAAACTTACCGTAGTCATATTGTTATCACTTTCAAAACTTTACTGCATGCACTGTTTATATCATCTCACTATCCAGTCAGATTTTTAATATACTTTTCACAAAATCACCAATTTGTTTTTAAAAAATGTCCAAACCACTTTTATAATGTCAGATAACACTGCTGTAAAAATAAATGTTGAATAAATCACTTGTTAACTGCCGGAGAAATTTTGATGTTTAAAATTTCATTCATGTCGCGTATTGTTTTGATTCTTCAACGTAATTTTATTATATGGGTGCGACACTTGCACATTAGTGAGATAGCTAGGGTACATTAAAAAGCCAAATAAAACCTAAAAATGATTATATAAAAGTAATTTCCATATTTCGAAAACTTCATTTTGGGTTGTATTAAAGCATTAAATAATTCTACCTATGAATTAGTAGTAAACACTATCAAAAAGCTATGTTTTTGCTATGCGATCAGGCCTATTACACATAATGCCTAACTTCACGTATGTGTTACCCATGAGACATCAAAAAGGTACTATCATGATAACATTGCTATCATAAATAATTATTTCTCAGTAAGCATTTTTATTCCGAATAATGCGACCAATGAAAAAAATATAAAGGGAAATAACTAAAAATTAAGGCTCGAAGAATTCATAGCTGGCTGATGGACTCTACAACTTTGAAAAGTTTTAAAAGTACAATGTAAGAATACAAGCTCATACAAAAATTATTATGTTGATGAATTATTTTTTTATGTTTTCAACAAAAATTATTCAAAAATTTATAACAATTCCAAAACTTCAAAAGCATTTATGTATTTAAAACGCGGCTTAATATTAAATCATATCTATTGCTGCTTATTATTAAATTTGTTTAATGTCAATCTATATATTATATTATTTTAAGTTATTTGAAAAATCTAATTCTCTAATTGCAAATATAAAGAATTACTCAAAAATATAAAATAAATTTATTTAAGACCATTTTATTCTCATAATTGCAAGACTAGAGATTGATTGACCTTACTACAGTCAATTTTCAATTGTCAATTTAGAAATCTGTCATTCAATAACTGTTAAGGCTAATGAAAAATATAGTATTTAACAATGGCTCAAACTTGTACGTTAAAATTAAATATTTGTTTATAAAATTGTAAAATAAAAAAATGATGTTCTCTCAAATGTATACCAGCTATTTCACTATTTTGCATAATTGAAGATATCCATTTAACCGTTTTGCTATTACTGTTATTTCCATAATATTACAATCACGTTTTGAATCACATTAATTGAATGCTTTTTCAAGTTCTAGGTAAATGTTATTCGAATAAATAATTTGGTAAGTGAAAATCCTAGCTTTTTAGTAAGTGATTAGAAATGATATAAAATTGATTTCATTGAATGAATAAAATAAATTTGATAAAAAATAATTTGCACTCCTGAAAGGTAAATTCTATTCATTCACTTTCTGTAACTTCATTTATTTACTATATAAAATTAAATCAGAGTAGAATAAAATTGCAAAAACAAAACTATTAATGATAAAAAACGTTCATTTCATTTCATGTTGAACATCCATAATGTTCATACTTTGCAGATTTAGAATTTATTACTTATTGTTAGAATTTAAAAAAATGTATATATCAGTAAGAATAGAAATTACAGAATTTGAATGAAGAATGAAGAATAAAATAGGAGGAAACATAAGAATGAAGAATAAAATAGGAGGAAGATAGGAGTTGAATAGAATCAGTAATTTGAAATAAAAGAGCAAAAATTGAAGAGAGAAAATGAAGAAATCAAAATTGAAAAAAAAAGATAAAAATTCAAGAAAAAAAATAATAGAACAATAAAAAATATAGAACAGGATATAAGATTGAATATGATATAAAAAATAATATAAAATGTAAATAAATAAAATTTAGTAGGTGGCTAAATGCTCTGAGTAAGCGAGGCCAAATAAAATTAAAAGAAAAAAGATCAATGAAATATGTAGAATTTTGTTTACAATGTTCATACTTTGCCAATTATTATTTTAATATGGATTAACCTAACGTTTGCTAAAATATTCGTGCTCACTTTATTTTAATAAATTTATACTGATAAAACATTTACGAAATAAATTTTACGAAAGGTAAAACAATATCTAATAAAAAAGTATCTAAAGAAAAAAATAATTTCAAGAAAGCATCTAAAAAGATAATTTCAAAAAAAAATGAAATTTAATAGCCAATTGAAGAAAGGCTTACGTAGAATCACAACGATCGGTCCAGATTTGTTTAGAAGTTACAAGTACAAAATGGACCTTTTTGCCAAAAATCCTGAATCGAATTTGATAATTCAGAAACTGTATGAAAGATATCACACAAAATCGTATGAATTAGTTTTTCGTGAAAAGCGAAAACTTAATTTTCGAAATAAATAATTGAAATATTTGGTCACAATTGTAGGGAGTACGCTACAGAAAATACTTGTTCAGATAAACCAAGTTATATAAGAAAGTATATACGAAATAATTAATATGAGAAATAATTAAAAAAGAATCAACACTTTTTTACAGCATTCCAATTAATCAACTCTAAGGTGTCACATAAATAGTACTTATACTATATAAATAAAGCAAATAGTAATAATATGAAAAAAACTAATTTATTCGAAGAATCAAGAACAAACGCTTAAAGAATGCATGAACAATAACGAAAAATGAATACATACATTACATATAATGGTTTTAAAAATAATGTTAAATTGGATCAATTATAATGTACATAAATATAAATTATTTAAACCCACGTTTATTAAATCCAACTATCACAATTTTAAACTGGTCCTCACGAATGCAATAACGTAACTCACGCAACTAAACCAAAGATAAACAAAAGCGAGTGCTTCGGCGCCGGCTTCTTGCTGAAGACTGACATCGGGCTCACCTTCGCTTTTTCAGTGAAAGGTATTTCGTATTTCGTATTTCAAACAAAAGCAAACTTGTATTTTCTCAAACAGGGTGGGGAAACATGACGATATTAACTGATACAAATAGTTATACAGCCGACCCTCCTATAACGCGGTTTGTGCGTACCGTGTAATGTGGAAAGCGCGTTATAAAAAGAAAACTCGGATTAACCCTCCGTCAGTCGGACATTTATTTACCTTGGAACGGTCGGAGTAGTCTGGCTGGACCACCATTCATTTTAAATGCATTTATATGGGATAAATGAGTTTTTGGTGTCTTATATATTAACGATTATTAGAAGTAAATATTTATACTTTTGATTTTTTCTTTTTCTTACCGTATTTTGCATGTTTTGAGCTTGCTTATAATGAAAATATTGTATATTATATTATATTATATTTAAAAAAATCGTTGCTTTTTTTGTTAATTTTTCTGTTTTATATCAATGAAAAACAAATGAAAACGAAATGAGGTTCGTCGCCTTTGAAATGAGCTGTAAAACTCAAAGTGAAAATATAATTTCACTACAGGTTTGCCAAAAAATTTTTTGAAGTCAGTACGGGTAGAAAAATTGTTGATAATGTGCGCATTACTCATACGATTTTCAATGTTTGCGATTACCAATTTTGGAAGATTTTCAAGGAACTCTCGTCGTGAAAATACTAACATTCATATTACGGCACATAGCAAAGAATATATAAAACGCAGTTTGAATAGAAAATACCAGAAAAAATACTGGTTTACATACATCATAAAGCGTATATTTCATACAAAATGTATGGGTGGTCTAGACAGACCACTTCGACCGTTCGAAGTACTCGTATAAAAAAGTTAATATCCTTATAATTATGCTTCTGTACATTTTTTCGTCCTGATTCTTTGATTGATCGACAGCTAATGAAATTTTAGGAAAAGTCAAGAAATTTCAAGAAGATAGGATTACTAGAACTATTTTTTTTTAATTGAAGTCGAAAAAGATCTGACCAGACCACTCCGACCGACAGAGTTAAACAAGCGAATCAGGTTAATTCGTATAGTGATCTATATAAACCGCCGGATATCGCGTTGTATGGAAACCGTGCTATAAAACTCAGAATTAGTACAAATCATCATTCGTACCGCGTTAAATGGATATCATTCAATAAAAACTTTAGAATAAATTATAGATTCATTTTCACGATTTCTTTTTAGGGCTAATATAACAAAGAACTTTTGACTTTATTCCTGGTTTCAAACAGATTTGCACTAAAGAATGTATTAAAAAAATTTAAAAATTGGCCTATAAATGTTAATTTCAGGAAAAAACAACTAACAACCTAACTTACTAAATAAAATAACATATAAATAATTGATCAATTTCAATGAAAATTTGAATATTAAACGCAAATGTATTGGAGTTTAATTACTATTATATTAAAAGCAAAAAAAGTAAAAATGTTAATAGTTTGAATGGAAAAAAGCTATATTTATAAGATATAAGAATGTATATAATATTATTAAAAAGTCTTGAATAACGTCGAGTACAGCTAGATAAGAAACATCTTTTCTAAAATAAAAATAGCCTAAGTTACCCCACTACCTACCAAAAAAAGTTCCGTTAAAATCGGTCCAGCTGCTTCAGAATTAGCCTAAAAAGATCAAGTCAATACTATCACTTTGTTTCGGCTTGATGTCAAGGTCTGAGACACCCTGTACAGTAAAACCAAAACGTCCTTATCATTCGCGGGAAATACGTTCCATAAAATAATTTTGCAAAAATTTCATTAAATAATAAATAAGGTTGTTTTCATTCTATTGGTTAATATTTTTAAAAACGAAGGCGGGTTATGTCATACTTTTCTTTATTAGTTCAAAATGACGGCATTTATAAAGGACTTTGGGTTCGATACATATTGGAATCCGCGAATAACGAAGTTTTTAGCTGCGAATATAGGAACTTCCACTGCCCTTTTTCACTATTTCACTTCACATCTTTTCCTATTACAATTAAAGAAAGGTTGAATTGCTAAATGCGTAAAAACTATCAAATTTAAATCGTTTTTATGATAAGTTTCAATGAATTTTGATTTAAAATTTACCAGAAAAAGCACATTAAATAAAGCGAAAATATATATACATGAATCAGCAAATGAATCAGCACTCGACAGTTTTAATTTCGGAGGTCTTAACTATCATTTTTATGCAATCTTTTCTATTATACAAAATTGTCTACTATATAAAGATGAGTTTAAACTCATCTTTAATTAAAATCTCAATTTTAATTAAAATTTTGAAATAATTTAGGAAAGTTTATTTTATTATCTTCGAGGAAATAGGCAAAAGACTACAGAATAATTGTTAAGTGATTATTTTTGCCATCTATAACTTCAAGTGGAAATTTGATTATGGTGCCTGATATCGTGCTGCCCAAGATTGGGATTGATTTCGGGATTATTTTGTGAAAGCCCACTTCCTTAACCTTATATTCGCATACGGTTCACACTTCTTCGACTTGTTCCTCAAAGAAATTTTTAGTTGCAAGTTGCAATATTTAAACAATATTTTTAGATGTTATGTGCATTTACTGCTCTTCAGAAATATTTTATTCATATTTATTTTTATAAAAATTATGTAGGCTCCATAATTACAATAGTAATTAATTAGTGTAGATAAGTGAAAACAATAAGTCCAAGCTATTAATATTTCCTCTTAGAACACTACAATAAACATTTTGTAAAAATATACTTCTAAAAGATTTTGTGCGCAGCTTTTCACTGAAAAATTAGGTGCCTAAAGAAATTCATAATGATTGTTAAAATATTCAAATGCGAAAACATATTATTATATAAAAATATAATATTTATTCATTGTAATCAAATCAATCATCAATATATTGAGATGCTAACATGTCTAAACTTATAATAAAATTAACTATCCCTAAAAAATTCTAAATTTTTTTATACACTTTTGTATAACAATGAGAATTATTTTTGCACCAACGTTATATTAAGAACCATGCAATTAATAAATTAATTAGAATAAGGATGGTGTCTTAATAGAAAATGATGAATGTAATATTTTACCATTCTTTCGCCATACTCAACTGCCTTTACTTTTGTTTGGAACAGACAAAAAATAAAATAAATGCTTTGAAAATAAAAAAAAAGAAATAAATGCGTTTTTATTTCGGATCTCGGAAATATGAGGATTAGTGTAAATCCAAGGTACATTATTGAATTTTGTATACAAAGTACTTGAAGTATACATTTAACAAAATGCAATAAATTTGCTTAATAATACAAGAAAAATGATTGGAATTAGATTGCAACACAAGTTTTAAATCGGCGAAATCACTTCAAAATGATTCGATTACATTTTTTCCAAAGGTCAAAATGTGAAAAATAGTGATGAAATTACTGGAACTGAATTTGGATTAACAAACATTGCATGAATAAATTTTTCAAGCCAATAAAAATATGAAATCTACAGAAATTAGATTTTTTTGAAACAAATGTGTTTATTAAAATTTGTCAATTTTAATAAATTTAAAAAAATCTCAATAAGATTGTGTTTTCAACCTAAATGATTATTTATAACTCAGAAGCAAATACAAACATACAAACCATGAAACTAATAATGCCCATATGTTATAATTTTTAAATAATGAATGAAAAATAACATGTACTTAATCATTAATTGCAATAACATATGAAACAGTAAAGATGTTGTAAGGTACGCCTTCTGAGAATTTAATTGTATATATGTGTATATATATATATATATATATATATATATATATTATATATATAAATATAATTAAAATTCATTTAAAATTTAAAATCTAAAAGATGGAAATCTCCAGTACTTCTACTTCAGTAGAAGGAACAACTTGTAACGGATTACACATAATGCTAATTTAGATTTCCATATTTTAGATTTTAAATTATAACACACTGATGATAAGACAAACCTAGTCTCAAAACGTTTGTAATATTATTATTTAATAAATTAGTGTAAAAAGAGTGTTGTTTTTTCATATTTCTAAATTAATATCTATCCACTCAGAATATATTTGTTATATATATTGGTATATATATATATATATATATATATATATATATATATATATATATATACATTAGGGTGGTCCTTAAAATGGATGTTTTCGAACTTCCTTGCTCTCAGAGGCTCAAATGCTTTGAAATTGATACAAACAAAATTGCTGAAAGTTTTAGCTCTTATTATTAAATTTAAGACAGTGCGCAATTCAACCAAAGTTTCTTGGTTCTTTTTCCTAAGTAAATACTTATTTCATAAAATAAATCAAATTTTTATTGTAATTTTTTTATTTATGATCAAAATAAGCAAATACAATATAATTCTCAAAATTTTAATAATCCTGTCGCTAAATTGATATAGAATTCTAAAAAAAACTAATGGAATTTTACCCATGATATTCCCATAAGAAACTTTGGTTAGAGTGCGGACTATCTTAAAGTTAATATTAGGAGCTAAAAGTTTCAGGGCATTGTTTTGTATCAATTGGAAGCGTTTGAGCCCTGGGAGGAAGAAGATTCGAAAACATCCATATTAAGGACCACCCCATGTATATTATACATAATAATAAATAGTCGCCCGAAGGCAGGTCCATGGTGCGAGAGCCACCATCTATTGTGCGATAAATATATATATTTGTATAAGCAAATAGGTATATTGTAAAATGGTCAATTCAATGAAAAAAATAACTTAATAATTTAATAATTATATAATTAGGTATCTATTGACTTTAATTTATATAGTTATATAGAAAAATTATTTTGATTTAGAAACATAACATAACATATAATATTTATATTAATATTTAAAACTGATTAATTGAATGTAACTTAGCAATATGTTTTGTCAAACATGCTTTGCTCATAAATCTCTTATCGCATGTAGCACATTTATAAGGCCTAATTCCAGAATGAACCCGCATATGAACTTGCAAATCACG